GAGGCCACAACATCTTGGTCTTCATATATTCAATATATTCCTTAATCTACCGATCTCCTAGTCCCTGTGGTCTACGTCTGCTAAATACAAACTCCTCATTCTCCTTGATCTCATTACTCAAATTTTAAATCTTTATGCATAATTGAAGAAAGTAATAAGAAAACTGGCGTGAGTGGGTTTCCGATATACGTCTCTACCTTACTGATTACCTTTTTTGCTCACAAATACATCCAAAAAATACAATTTATTTTCCTTTTCTACCTTCATGATAAAATTAGTATTTGCATCCATTCTATTTATTTGCCCAAGGGATTCACCCAAAATATCTGTTTTCCGTTACCAAACAGCAAAATAATCTTCCATATAACAAACCAATAACTTGGGAACTAAGAGTGTCTCTCGAAACACGTAAACTTCTAATTGGTTCATGTTGTTATCAGCTAAAATAGGGGCTAAATAAGATCCTATAACCAAACCTCATATTTGCTCACATAACTTATTGGGAGAACTTTCATTTCGTTTAAAATGAAAAGGAGACTGCTATTAAAATAGTGGCCGCATCATCTTGCTTTTTATATATCCAAGTAAATTCAATAAATTATTTTTGCTCAATATCATAACCCATTGGAGAACACACAAAAATAAAATTAGTCTTCTGTGAAGGCTAACAAATATGCACAAAATACAGCGCAAGAATATTCATAAACCTGAGCGACGAGATGACGTTCCACCGAGAGCAGACATGACTGCTTCATTAGCGCTTCGTCGTCTCCCAGCGATGCCTTTACTGGAATGTCCACCTCCCATGGAGGCATTTGCAGATATCAGCTGCTGCAAAGAACGAAGACTGGCCTGGATGCAGACACGACGACGTTCTTCACTAGTCACAGAACTAGAGCTAAAATTGTATGAGGAGGCAAAAAATGGGATTTTGAGTATTCTGGAGAACTTAAAATGTTAGTAAGGTTGAGCTTATTGTTGAGCCATTGACTTACCATTGCTACTGGACGTAAAAAGAATGAGAGACAAGCTGGTATAATTATTAATTACTACTAAAGTAAGATAACTCTGGGGCTTTATAGCGACGAGATTTTAAGATGATATTGCCGCTCACATACAGCCTTTGAAAAGAAGAGATGCGATTGGGAAAATTCAGAAATGTAATCAACTGAGTCGGCTTCTTAAGATGAAACAATTGAACCTATAAAAAAATTAGAAGAAAGGAAGAGGATCCTCGTTGGATCGTCTAGTCTTCTCAGCTGGAGGGAAGACTCAGATTTAAAGACTTTTAGCAGCCAAGCCTATCAATCGTCAGATCGGCCAAAACAAGAGGAAAGAAAAAAAGATGTAGCATTTGGAAATGCCTGAATAACGAGAAAAGACCCTGGAAGCTTAGGGGAAAGATAGTCATTTGCAGAAATCGAGGTTTTTTCCTAATATTATGTTGTGGAAAAAACATCAAACGTTTCGGTAAACCAAATATATTTAAAGATATGAATAGCAAGATGGTGTGGCCTTTGGAAAGGTTGAAGTATCCAATCTATTTATAAAAGTGATTCGACCTCGTTATCACAACTTGGTCATGTTGCCATGGTGACTCAGTTGACCGCACCTTCGCCGAAGTCCTCTGTCATAGTACTTAGCACTTATCAGTGAGTCTTTCAATTCTCCCCACCAAGCTACAAACTCGACAGAGACAAGTGAAGTCAATCCCTCGACCAACGCTCTGCCGAAAACGGTTACACTATCACTCATTTTCCTGTCCCGGCCCATCTCTCTATTCTTTACTGCTGATTTTGCCAGAATTCTGACTCCGGAAGACTTTCAAAAACTCCAGAGCATGACCGACAGAAAATCCCGTAGGATATCTGACTTAATAATAAAACGATATGACAACTAATTGCGTGAGCTTGGGATTATAAGACAGCCCAAGTTAAGGCCAGCGCGCCCAGGTGAAGTAATTTGCGAGGTGACAACACCTACTGATCAGCACGACGATCGGAAAAAAGTAGTGAATTTATTATCATTTCTCATTAATCCCTAAACCATCATGATTCTGGAAAAAGGACTCAAATTTTACTTCAAAATGACAGAAGCCTTCAAGGAAATATCCTACTGGAGGTTGTCAATATCTGAGACAAGTTGCCTGAGCAAACAAAAAGGGAAATGGAGATTGAACTATTTCTAAAGATATTGACAAATCAAGTACCAACACATAGGATCAGAGTTGCCATGACACGTAATACCCTGGAAACGAATAATCAATTACTCCTTCAGACGGATAGAGGAGGAGGGATAGTGATAATGGACAAAAAACAATATACTGAGAAGATGGAATATATTCTACGAGACAGGACTACATATCGTAAACTAAAGAAGCACCTAACTATGAAGATCAATGGAATCTTAAGTGACATGCTGGAAGATATGCATAGGGAAAATAGACGTATGGACAAGAAATTCAATCGTAAGAAAGGATGCACGACCACCAACAGCCCACAGATTACCGAAGATACAGAAAGAAGGCGAGCCACTAAGGCTGATAGTCAACAATAAGTATGGAACAACACACAAATGGATAAAGTTAATAAGGTAGAAACTTAAGATATTAATCGACACGATATCAAATACGGTGAAACATTCTTATGAATTATCTGAATTAATCTCCTTTCTACAAATATGTCAGGAGAAAAGGCGCCAACGGCCCTGTTGGAAATCCTGAACCGAAAGGAGGATATCCTGTAATCACAATGGATCATGAGAGAGTCGTTAACAGGACTAATCAAGTCGGCAATAAGGAAAACCTATTTTACCTTCAACGAGACCATCTATGAACAAATATTTGGACTTCCCATAGGATCGTGGCTCTCCGCTCTTTTGGCAAAAGTATACATGAACTAATTAGAAAAAGAATTCAAGATGTCACCTGTACAACCAGTATTGCTCATGCAGTACCTAAACGAGTAGTTTGCAAGTTGGTAACATGTAAGGGATGAACTGGAAGATTATCTGACATTTATAAACCAGTTTTGTGAAAAAAGCAAATTTCAAGTGGAAGTAGAGGAAGTTAAGCGGTTACCTTTTGTGAATGTTGGAGTGACCTGCTCTAATGAGACGCTGAAGAAGAAACTGCTTAGAGAAAAGACATATGCCGAGATAATACTCAATTTCAAGTCCTTTCCCAACTACATGCTAAAGATAGGAATAATAAGGAGCATGATTATCAGAAGCCTACGTTTAAAGGATGTGGAATTTTGGATCGAGAAGTTGGACAAATTGACTAGAATATTCCTCG